CTTACAGTGGCATAGAGAGAGAGGATGCTCAGGACTTTTTGGACAGGTGTCAGAGGATACTTCGTACTGCTGGTATTTTGGAGACTTGTGGGGTCTCATTCACTACCTTTCACTTTTCTGGGGCTCCGCTCAGATGGTGGGAGACATACGAGAGGCGTAGGCCTGTTGGCGCAACACCCCTTACTTGGCAGCAGTTCTCCGTGGTCTTTTTGGAGAAGTTCGTGCCTCGATCCCACAAAGAGGGGTTGCACAGACAGTTTGAGCAGCTTCGACAGGGTGATATGTCTGTGACACAGTATGAGATGCGATTCTCCGAGTTGGCCTATCATGCTATCTGGTTGGTTCCCACGGACAGAGAGAGGATCATGAGGTTTATTTATAGCCTCACCTATCAGCTACAGTTGCTCATGACCAGGGAGCGGGTTGCGGGTGCTACCTTTGATGAGGTTGTTGACATTGCTCGGTAGATTGAGATGGTTCGTGGTCAGGAGAGGGTTGAGAGGGAGGCCAAGGGGCCTCGTGGTCAGGGTGGATTCATCGGTGCTCCTTTTGGGGTCAGTTCCAGCACGGTAGAAGTCGTCATTTTAGACAGGCTCAATCAACTCGACCATTTCACCATGATGCATTATCTGGTGCATTATCTGGCCATGGTTCTCACAGTTCTCATCAGGGCCACTCATCACTTAGTGCCCTTCCAGCTCAGAGTTCATCCCGTGCTCCACCTGTTCAGGGCTTTTCCATGCCAGTTTCTTCTACCAGTTATCCTGGTGCTATGGGTTCCCTTCAGTTTCCGCCGCCAGCATCATGAAGTTGTTTTGAGTGTGGGGAGCTTGGGCATATGTGGAGGCAGTGTCCTCGTCGTTATGGAGGTCTATCTCAACAGAGGAGTCAGCCTCCGACTACAGCACCAGTTACCTTACCACCCGCCCAGTCAGCTCGGGGTGGAGGTCAGTCAGCTAGGGGTCGCCCTAGAGGGAGAGGTAGGTCAGGGGGTGGTCAGGCCCGTTTCTATGCCCTCCCTGCCAGACCAGATGCTATTTCTTCAGATGCTGTGATTACAGGTATTTTCTCAGTTTGTCACAGAGATGCCTCAGTATTATTTGACCCTAGTTCCACGTATTCATATGTTTCCTCGTATTTCGCCCATTTTCTGGATATGCCCTGTGAGTCTTTAGTTTCATCTGTACATGTATCTACTCCTGTGGGCGATACTATTATTCTGGACTGCGTATATTGGTCATGTGTGGTGACTATTGGGGGTCTGGAGACCCAAGTGGACCTTTTACTACTTAGTATGGTCGACTTTGATGTGATATTGTGTATGGATTGGTTATCTCCATGTCATACTTTTCTAGATTGTCACGCTAAGACGGTGATGTTGACTATGCCGGGAATTCCGAGGGTTGAGTGGAGCGGTTCTGTAGATTATGTACCAAGTAGGGTGATTTCATATTTGAAGGCTCGGTGCATGGTTGAGAAGGGTTGCCTATCTTATTTGGATTTTGTGAGGGATGTTAGTGCAAGACTCCTATCATTGATTCTATTCCGGTGGTACGTGATTTTTCGGATGTATTTCCTGCAGACCTGCCTGGAATACTGCCTGACATGGATATTGACTTTGGTATTTATTTGGTGCTGGGAACTCAGCCCATTTCTATTCCACCGTATTGTATGGCACCGGCGGAGTTGAAGAAATTGAAAGAACAGCTTCAGGAACAGAGCATACAGTTAAACAATGACAAGAAGTTCAAAGTTGAGCTTAAGTCTCCATGCACTGAGATCTCTTTCCATAATTAAAACAAATTAAATACTGCAGATTGGATCGTCCCAAACAAGGTATAAAGGCACGTTATTTTCATCACATGTGGGCGCTTCTTGCTACTTCCCGCCTGAAAAAACACAATTTCAGTCAATGTAAACGTTCTGTTTGAGAGAGAAAACGAAGAGGAAAAGAAAAGGATTTAAGTTATTTACACTTCATGTTATATCTAGTTAGTTACTACGATCATTTTTACTAGCTAAGTTATTAGTACGTTTGTAATATGGCCATTATTTTGTCAAATGGAGTCCATCTCACATAAGCAATAGCATCTTTGCAAAGTGTAGACTTTGTTGACAATATTCTTTGGACCCAAAAATATTGCATTGTGTGTTGGACATCATTTGCACAAGTTGTATCTCTTCTTTTATACCTAAGAGGTCAAGACTTTTTTGCCTATAAAAGGGAAGGCCATTAGTTCATTTTATACACACCAACAAGACTTGAGTCTTCCTTTCTTGTTTCTTCCTTTCTTCTTTTATTAAGATTGTTTTGTATGAGAGTTAAGTGTTGGGAAGCACTTGTGTGAACCCTTTCTTTGGAGTGATCTTGTGAGGTTATTCTCTTAGGGTATTTGGGATTAATTAGCGTGTTTACTCTAATTTTGTACTCTTTTTTGTACTCTTATTCTTATAGTAAATTGCTCCTCTCCGCTTGTGGACATAGGTCACTTTGACCGAACCACGTTAAATTTGTGTCTTCTTTATCTATACTTTAATTGTCGTTGTTATCAACTTCAATTGTCTTTGTTATTGTCATTATACTGTTGTTTGGCTATATTCCGCACTATCCGGGTTCCCGATCCTAACAACGTTGATGTTTGTTATAGAGATTCGTTTGTGATTACCTTATAAATGATCTATGTAGATATTCTTTAACCGTTAGTTAATTGAACTTAAACCCGAAAAGAAAAAGAACAGAAAAGAATAATAAAGGAAACCTGAATATTGTTCCATATGGTGAGAGCAAATGAAGCAGCTGCAAACAAGAAACAACCAAGAACGCAATTCTCATGTGTTGAAGTGAAGACGAGGAGATGCGGTCTTGCCAGCTGAAGAAAAGATGGGGAATACTTGTTTACCACTGGACCTTTGTAGAAAGTCATTGATAACATCCCCACTATTGACATTAAGGTACCAACTACTCTTGCTTGACTTCCCTGCCTTTTCCAGTCGATCCTTATTTTCCTGAAATTATATAGTTATTCTTCTTTAGAATATTGATAATCATATATAGTTCCAAAACAGTCAAAATATTTAGTACTAGTTAAAATAACACAGATGTAGTGTTCACACTTTTACGTTTTTGGTGAGTCAATTCTAAGATAGTGGTTGGAAAATATACTCCTTAAATTTTTATTGGTAGGAACTGTGTACTTCGCAAATAACATTTCATAACAGGTCCATTCACTTCATCAGTTCCCTACCAATTACATCAGTTTCTTGCTATTTTTCAAATCTAATTAACCATTCACTTCCAAAGCATGGCCCATCAATTTGATACCGAAAAAGGGACTCCTGAATACTTGAGATATACGAATATATTCTAACTCGCCTTTCTAATTGTAAGAAATCACTTCCTCTTTAATGCTACTCCTCGTAATTGGCGGAGTTAGAGATTTCGTCAAGGGAATTCATCTTTTATAAAAATAAATTATATCAAGCTTCTGCTTCAAATCAAAAGGATTTAATCCTTGTATTTACCATACATTTTAATATTTTTGCCTTGTAATATACATGTATTACTATAATTAAATTTTTTGAGCAAGGAGTATCATATGAAACCCCTTGCTTCAATGTGCATGGCTCCACCATTACTCCTGGTATTTTTCCCCTTCTAGTTGTAAGAAATTGAAGTGTTTGAGAGCGTACATTTTTATTTATTTCATTTTATCTTCAACACATCCTCTTACGTATGAGTCTAATTTTTTTTCATGGCTATGCACGTGAAAATTTTTTTTCGATAATATGTGATGACGAGACTCAAACACAAGACCTTTGTTTGCTTTGATAGCATGTTGAAGTGTGTTACCATCTCATCTAAAAGTTTAAAGCTAATAGATGCGTCAAAGACGGTTGCTAGCTACTGCTAGTCGCACCCTCTAGCCCGTCAGGCTTTCCCAGGTTTATTTACTTACTTAATTTTGTTTTCAAGAGGCTCAAGTCTGTTTCCAATTAAGAGGCCATAAGATAATAAAAAAAGTAGAGAAAAAAGAACCTAAGAATAAAGGAAACAATGAAAGAAAAAGCTGGTATCATGTTTGCGGCTCCACATGCTACGATTGGAGAAATATAACTTAGTCCCGCGAATGCAAGGTTCTGCGCTATTGTTACCCTACAACCACAGTGCCGTTAATTCTTTTTTTCTCTCGGCACACATTAGGTGCTAACTAACCTGCGCCCTCACCGAAAATGGGAGTAAGAGGAAGATCGAAGAAAAGCACCAGGAAAACACCAGTGGTAGAAAGGAAATTACCAGACATTATCACGCAAAAACAAGGAAAACAAACTGAAAAAGCTAAAGAGAAAATGCAAGAGGAAGATCTGGATCCGGAAAGTGACAATGACCAAAATTGGCCAGATCTGAGTAGTGCTCGAGCTAAATTGGCAACACCGGTGAGCCCAGGCATTCTTCTGACACTTGTGGTGAGTTCTGGAGCTAAAGGACTAGTTGTACCGCTGATCACAATTGGTGGTGTGAGTACGAGCAAGTCACAGAGCAATGGAACAGTACATGCAAACTTGCCAAAGGAACAGAGAAATGTTGAGATCGACACTGGGAAGAACATGCAAGACAAGAAAGCAGAGAAAACTGGGAATGGGGGAAGATCATGGGCATGTTTGTTCCAAGAGAACAAATTTGCAGCTAAGGGTATGAATCTATCCTACATCCCTCCGGTGCTACAGGACGGGGAAGTTGTAGTGCAACTGTTGGAAGAGGACATTGCAGAGGAAAACCAGAAGTGGAATCGAGCAATAATCTTGTACCACTACTAAAAAATCAGGTTTTAGCGACGGACAAATTCTGTAGCTAAACAGAAAAATCCGTCACTAATCTCATTTAGCGATAGATTAACAACGGATTATCAAGAAATTCTGCTAGCTACGAGTGTTTTAGCGACAGATTAGCGACGACGTTCGTAGCTAATTTTATTTTTTTGTAGTGTACGTGGTGGGAAATACTCCAACTATTGGGGAAATTGAGCGCTTCATAGCTAACCAGTGGAGTAAGGTCAAAAAACCTAAAGCACTCTTCCATAACGATGGGTATTTCATAATTTTGATGAATAGATGTGAAGAGAGGGATGAAGTGCTATTGAATGGTCCGTATACTATGAGTAGTAGGCCAATCATAATTAGACCATGGATCAGAAGGATTTGATTTCAATGAGGAAGTGCTTAAAACCATACCTCTGTGAATCAAATTCCCTAAGCTACTACTTAACTATTAGAGTAATCAGGCCTAAAGCAAAATTGGGAGTGGTTTGGAAAAGCCTTTGTATGCTGATGCATGTACTATAGTAGCTGATAGAGTCTCATATGCTAGGGTGTTAATTGAAATGGATATCACTAGGCCTTTACCAGGGACAATCAAATTATATGACCCTAAAGGCAAGGTGATCGAGCAGGTGGTACAATATGACTGGAAACCTTAATACTGCCAGACATGTTGTCAAATAGGCCACTCGTGTAGAGATCAAAAGAAGTAGAACCAGGAGGGAGGATATCACAGAGGTATTAAACAGAAACAAAAACAAAAACGGAGAATAGTGAGGGTGCTTGATCCTAATGTAGACAAAATTGATGCTCATGGTATGCTCCTGGATCAACTGGAATTAGAAGGTGATGAGCTACCATTCCAGCAGGGAAATGAAGAACAATGGCAACTTGCTAGAGGAAAGTCTGCATCAAAGAAGAATATGGGATCCATAAGAGAGAATGAAGTAGACATTGGCAATGTATTCAAAGCACTAGTTGACACAACCCAGAAGATTGTGCAACTATCTGAAGCTCAGTGGGCAAGAGGTCAGCAGAGTAGAAATGACAGAGGAGGAGGCTCTAAAATACTACTATATCATGATGAATATACTACTATATCATGATGAATATCATAGCCTGGAATGTTAGGGGGTTGAATAAAGTGTATAAGCAAAAAGAACTAAAAAATTTTTTTAAAGAGAATAAAGTGGTAATTATGGTTGTTCTAGAGAATAGAGTCAAGGCAACCAATGTTGTTTCAATAATGAAGAAGGTTTTTAGTAACTGGCAATAGGTAGCTAATTATGATGAGGCGCCAGGAGGTAGAATTTGGGTAGTATGGGATCAAACACAGGTGGATTTTAAGGTTATCCGAAGACATGAACAGTATATAGTAGGGCATGTGATCATGAATCAGCACAGAATCAAGTTCAACTTTGGTGCAGTCTATGGAATGCACACTATACAAGACAGGAAGGGACTATGGGAGGACCTGAAGATAACTATGGACGGAGTGAGTGGCCCTAGCTTAATAATAGGGGATTTTAATACTATACTATCTAGTGAGGATAGAGTGCAGGGGAATTCAGCACAAAAGATAGAGGCGAGAGACTTCAAAAACTTCATACTGGTTACAGGATTAGATGAACTCAAAATAGTGGGGCGAAAGTTCACATGTACTAACAACTATATCCATAGTAGAATTGATAAAATATTGGTAAATGCAGAATGGATTCAGAAATGGCCTGCCATGGAGGGGATCATTATGAATCCTGGCTTCTCATATCATTGTCCTTTGAGTGTAGCTATTGATGGTACTAATCAAGAAGGTAGGCGACCTTTCAAGTTTCTCAACTGTTTGGCAAGTCACCAAGACTTTGATGAAACAGTTAAGCAATGCTGGAGAAATAGGCACAGGGGAACTGCAATGTTAAATGTGTAGAATAAGCTCAAAAAGCTAAAAGAAGCTCTAAAACAACTGAACAACCAACAATTCAATAGTATTGGGCACAAGATTCAAGTAGCAAGGAACAAATTAGAAGGTATCCAAGCTTAGATGCCACTCCCAGGAAATGACACTGAGGCAATACTACAAGAAAAGGATGCAAAACTTGAACTGGAAAAATGGTGGGAGGTTGAGGAGAGTGTGTTGAAGCAGAAGTCAAGAATTTAGTGGCTTAAACTAGGGGATTCTAATACGTCATACTTCCATGCTTGTGTGAAAAACAGGTAAGCAAAGAATTATATTGGCAGAATAACTAACAGTGTAGGGCAAATTCTTCAAAGTGCTATTGAAGTAGAAGAGGAAATACTTAATTTTTACAAAATATTACTTAGTATAGCAGCTTCACAAATGCCAGTAGTTATCCCAGAGATCATGCAGAAAGGCTATACTTTAACCATGCAGCAATAACTATAGCTAATCAAGCCAGTTACTAGAGAGGAAGTAAAGAGAGCTATACTAGATATTGATGATAATAAAGCACCGGTATGTGATGGTTATAACTCCTACTTCTTTAAAAAGACATGGCATATATTGGGTGATGAGGTTACTGTAGCAGTAATGGAGTTCTTTGAAAATGCTGAAATGTGCAAAGCCATTAACTGCACCACTATTACTTTGATCCCTAAAGTCAAGAACCCAACTAACATTAAGGAATTCAGGCATATTTCCCGTTGCACAGTGCTATACAAGATAATATCAAAAATTCTAACAGCAAGATTACAGGAAGTTATGACAGACCTAATAGATAACTGCCAAACAGCCTTTGTACCAGGAAGAATGATCACTGATAACATCATTATGAGCCATGAATTGGTAAAAGGCTATGGGAGGAAGAACATATCCCCAAGATGCATGCTCAAAATAGATATGCAGAAAGCCTATGATTCTGTGAAATGGGTATACATTGAACAAGTGATGAAGATGTTGGGATTCCCTGAAATATTGTGAAGTGGATAATGGCATGTATCAGTACAGTTGCCTATTTTGTAATAATTAATGGTAAGCCAGCTAAACCATTTGAGGCAAGGAAAGGGCTGAGGCAGAAGGATCCCCTATCTCCATTTTTATTTGTGATGGCCATGGAGTATCTTAGTAGACTACTGAAGCCATTGGAGGATAACAAGAAGTTTAAATTTCACCCAAAATGTGCCAAAGTCAACTTAGTGCAATTGGAATTTGCTGATGATCTACTTCTTTTCCGTATAGGGTACATACAATCAGTCAAGATACTCCATCAACAGTTTCAAGTATTTTCTACAGCCTCAGGACTAATTACAAATCCTAACAAAAGCTGTATTTACTTTGGTGGAGTGAACAATATGACTCAACATCATATTATGAAATTGCTAGGATACACTAAACGAGAACTACCTTTTAGATACCTGGGTGTCCCATTGAGCACCAAGAGGTTATCAGCTATCCAATATGAACCTCTAATTGATAGAATGTTAAGCAGGATCCAATGTTGGACAATAAAATTTTTGTCATATGCCGGAAGAGCAATGCTAATTAAGAGTGTTCTAGTTGTAATTCAAACATTCTGGGCTCAGATATTCATTTTGCCAAAGAAAATCATTCATTTCATAGAAACAATATGCAGGAGATTCTTATGGTCAGGAGCTGCGAAACCTACCAAAAAGGCATTGATTGCCTGGGATAAACTGTGTACTCCAAAGGTAGCAGGAGTACTAATCTTCATCAATGTGGAGCTGTGGAATAAAGCAGTTATTTGCAAGCTCTTATGGAATATTTGTACAAAGAAGAAGAAGTTGTGGGTCCAGTGGATTCATGCATACTACATAAAGGAGAACAATATATGGAATACAGAGCCAAAGAGTGCATTATGGGTCATCCAAAAGATATTCAAGACAAGAAACTTCTTTGAGGTTGCTGGATATACAAGAGAGGAGGTAAATCTGATAGAGAGATTCTCCGTAAGACACATATACAAAGCCATGCAAGGGGAGTTTCAGAAGGTGCCATGGACGAAACTAGTGTGTAATAATCAAGGACTACCAAAGTGGATTTTCATACTACGACTCGCAATACAGGATAGGTTAGCTACAAAAGAAAGGCTAGCAAGATGGGGGATTATTGCAGACAAAACATGCTCACTTTGTCAAAGAGAGAATAAAACATTACAACACTTATTCTTTGACTGTGAAGTATCAGCAACTATATGAGAGCAGCTTCTAAACTGGCAAGGCATTCAGAGAACAAAGGGAGATCGGCAGGAGGAGCTGAAGTGGATAGAAAAGGTGGCCAAAGATAAAAGTGGAGGGGCATAATATGCAGAATGTCATTAGCAGCAGCAGTTTATCATATTTGGCAAGAGAGGAACAATGTTATTTTCCAGAAGAAGAAGAGATCTGCTAATTCTATCCTTCGACTAATCATTCAAGAAATACACGTTAGGGCCAAGCTATTTCCTAGGTTGGATAGAACCATGAATACACTGAATTGGTATCCTGATGTAGTTTAGAAGACAAAAGAAGCAGGAGAGGGATTGTAGCAAAGCTAGGTAACTCCAAGCTGGGGCTTCATGTCCGGCAGGAGCTATGATAGAAAGCTAGGTTCACTTTGTTAGATTGTAAATACTTATACTTGGTAAATAAAATCTTTTACTTACCAAAAATAAAATCAGTATAGCAATCCTATGGGAAATTAAGTGACATCAATATCTCATATGATTAATTAAGTTGGTGGTTAAGAAACTCCAAAGTCCAAAATGCATGAATACAGAAAATAATTGGAGGGTTTGGACCAATTAATGTTCATTTTAGACCATACTAATTAATGTTCGTTCTTTCTTAATTCTAAGCATTCTAATTTGGCACAGAGAAAGAGAAAGAGAGTACTAACCCTACTAAGCCAAGGAAGAAGACACGCAAAAGAAGGGGAAACGTGAATAATTGCTCTTCTGTCCTAAAATTATTGAGAAAGAAAGAAAGATCAACACTGGTCCTCTAAGTCACCCCTGATCTTAAAGAAAAAGAGAAAACAAGATTTCGTGAAAATATATACTTGTCTCTTCTGTGGAAAAAGAGGGAATACGGAATGAGAAGGATAAAGCTAAGAGCAGACCACGAATATAAAAGAACTCATACCAAACTTGGACATAGCGGTACTGGCCATAATCGTCAAGAAAATAGCGACAGCTTCTATTATGACCATTGTTGTGCATGGCAACATTTCTCCTATGGCATTCACAACCCTCACACCCATCTCTCTTTCGTTGTGTGTGTTCTATCTTTATGTCAACTACTTGTTATAACTCCGTATGATCCGGTCTTCACAATTTATATGGAGGCACATCAATTCAATTTGCCGTATACGTCAGGAAAAAAAAAAGAGAAGGTAACCTTTCATGGAATGCTTAAGCTACTTGGAAAGAGAAAGAGCAGTTCGAGTGACCCAAGCATGGCACGGAAGGCAGCGATTCAATAATTGTTTAATGCTAGTATTAATTTATTTTTAATTGAAGAAAACTTCTCATCCACCTGCACACCTATTATTCATCCTACGTGGACTCTGAGAGTATGTATATATATGTATTAACCAAGAATTAGATTTTGTACTAGGTGGACTAAATTATCTTAAGTAGTATGATTAATAACCCCCATAATTAAGGTTTGGTTGTGTGGCTGACATTAAGAATGGCCCTACTAGGAATGATTAAATCCATACCCAAGAGGGTCTTCACATTACACCAGGTTAATTTAGCTATAAGAAAGAATTTTATAGTATTTGATTAATTGATTGGCCGTTCTGTTATAGTACAATGGCAATAGACTGTAGTAGGGTATAGCAGCTTATAAAATAATGCTATTGTCTTCAAACGGAAGTACGTAAGCAGAAGAATGAAGAGAAAGACTATTTTAAAGTAAAACGTCATGAATTTGGACGCCTTGTCAGCTTTGGACGGACTGCTAGTGTCAGATTTGTCCTTAGAGGCTGGCAGTCCAGCCGTGCAATCTCTTCTTATAATAGTACTCCATATGCTAACATCGTATCAAGGGCTCATGACGTACCTCATTTCAACCATTCCTTTTTTTGTTTTACTTTTCTTTCGCGCAAACGCGTTAGTTTGATCGATGGACATATATATATGTTCGCGCATCCTGTCCAAGTTGAATCGTGTCCAACTAGGTCTATTACATTGTTGAGTTGAACCCAATGTTGATTCTTTTACTCTACTCTGTTAATTGCACTAAACACCTTTATAATATGACTTACTTTTAACGGATAAGGGTTCAATATACCTTTATACTATTCGAAATAGTTTAAAAACATCTTCCGTTTGAATATTCATCCAATTATACCCATACTGTCATACTATTGCACTGATTTGTCCCTAATTTAGACGGACGGACACGCGATGTTGAAGATAAAAATTCAATGATCAATTTTGATTCTCAGCTCACAGTCTCTCGCAGCAAACTAAGTAAGGAAGAAGAAGCTAGAAGGAATAAGGCTAAGTTTCTGGTCGATAAGAACAAAAATACAATTGGTAAAGTACAAAGAACTAAAGACTTAGATCCTTTATCAAGCCAAAATATCAAAGGGACACGTGGAGCAATCTCAGCTTTTGGTTCACTATTTGATGGATCTATTACGGTCCGTCCGATCAAAATATTAGACAACTACTGTGCAGCTAATAAAGACACAACGGCTAATTTTTATTGTACAAAATTAGTACATTAGGTGTATAGAATTATTTGTCTGATAGCATAAATCAAATACCTCTTAGACACCTGTACATAGGATTATTCTTATCCTTTTACACTATACTTGTATAAATAGACTGTCATCAATCAATGAAAATACACAGAAAAATTCTCAATCATTTTTTCTCCTAACTTTTCTACATGGTATCAAAGCAACAGCTCTAAGAATATCCTAATCTTTTTCTTTTTCAGTTTCTCTTTGCTTTCATTCTCCAATGATGTCCACATCTGAGGTCGCTGATGTCACTTCTGGAAATACTGTCACCTCTGGAAATAATGGGAATAGCATGAAATACCCAAGTTATCCTTACTTCCTTAACCCGTCTGATTCACCTAGAATGAACTTGGTAAACTCATCTTTTGATGGAAGAGGTTATGGAGGATGGCGCAGGTCCATTCTCATAGCTCTTTCTACAAAAAATAAGATTGGCTTTATTGGTGGAGCTTGCCTTTCTCCTAGGCCAGAAACACATGACTTCAAGTTGTCAAGCATGTGTAATGATATGGTGATTTTTTGGCTACTTAATTCTCTGTCAAGAGAGATTGCTGACAGTGTGATTTACTCTAAGACATCCAAGGACCTGTGGGATGATTTAGAGGACAGATTTGGTCAGTCAAATAGTGCAAAAATATATCATTTATAGAAAGAATTGAGTGACCTGATTCAGGGTACTAGTGATATAGCATGGTATTTTACTAAGATAAAAAGGTTATGGGATGAACTAGATACCTTGAACACTCATATCAACTATTTTTGTGCCTGTAATTGTGGAGGAAAAGCCAAAATGGCTAAGTCACTTCAAGATGAGAGGCTTATCAAATTTCTCATGGGGTTGAATGATACTTATGCCTCTATGAGAAGCAGCATCTTGATGTTATCCCCTTTGCCAACTATAGGACATGCTTACTCCTTGTTGATATAGGATGAGAAGCAGAGAGAAGTTTATGTCAACTCCCAATTCCTTGGTGATTCTACATCCTTCCTGGCTGCAAATCAAAACCCTCCAAGTCAGAAAGTTGGAAATTCTGATTTCAAGGGAAAAAGGAACAATCTCAATTGCTCTTATTTCAAAAAAACTGGGCATTCAGTGGATAAATGCTATAGGATCATTGGTTTTCCGGCAGACTTCAAATTCACCAAGTCAAATGCAACAACGGTTGAAGAAAATATTATGAACCATCAGCTCTCACAGGAACAGTTCACTCAACTTATTCAGCTTCTTCAACAAGTGAAAGTTGGACAACCAGGGACTTCAGGTTCAGAAATCAATGTTAATGCTATCAACTGTGCTGGTAAAATACTCAAAAAATCAGTATCTCGTTTCACTTACATTAAAGGTAGCTCCTGGATCTTAGATTCAGGAGCATCTGAACACATGTCTTTTGATTCTACCATTTTCTTAAACCTGAAACCTTTGCCTTATCATGTTAATATCAGTCTTCCTAATTTATATAAAGTAAATATATATCTTGGTGGAGATATATCCATTCATCCTAAAATCATTCTAAGAAATGTTCTTTATGTGCCTTGTTTCAAATTCAATTTGATATTTATTCAAAGATTGTGTCAGCAAAATAATTGTCTCCTAATTTTTTCTGCGATTGGATGTCTGTTGCAAGAAAATTCAGTAAAGAGGCCTCTGGCACTTGGTGAAGCTAGAGATGGTCTATATCTGCTCCATTCCACAAATCTTCAACCTAAGAAGCTATCTAAAGATGTTTATGTTTCATTACCTAAGGAGAGTCTTTCCAGTTTTGTTGAGTCTTTTAAATCAGTTTCTATTCCTATAAAAGCTAATTCCTATGTAAAGTTGTGGCACTTTAGATTGGGACATTTGCCATTTCATGCAATGAAAAACATCAAATCTGTTTCTATTTTATCTTTGTATCCAATTCTGATTTTTCATGTGATGTTTGTCCACTAGCAAGGCAAACCAGATTGCCTTTTCATTCAAGCAAGATAAGTACCAACAAGGTTTTTGATCTAATTCACATTGACACCCGGGGGCCCTACAAAACACCCACATACAATGGATATAGATATTTTCTCACTATAGTAGATGACTTTAGTAGGGCAACCTGGACCTATCTTTTAAGCACCAAAAGTAATGCTTTTTCAATTCTCAAAAATTTCTTAGCTATGATAGAAAGGCAATTTAACACCAAAGTCAAGGTAATAAGATTAGATAATGCACTAGAACTGGGAGGGGGTACAATAATCTCTGAATTTTTTCTTTCTCAGGGAATCATTCATCAAACTTCATGTATTGCAACCCCTTAACAGAATGGTGTTGTTGAGAGGAAGCATAGACATCTTCTGGAGACATCAAGGGCTCTATTGCACCATTCTAAGGTCCCTATATCATTTTGGGGAGAATATTTATTAACTGCTACTTTCTTGATCAATAGATTTTCATCTAGAGTTCTTAAATAAAAAATACCTTATGAGATTATTTTTGAAAAATGTCCCAATTATGATTTTCTCAAATGTTTTGGTTGTTTATGTTATGCTACCACGCCTTCACATAACAGAGGAAAGCTATAGCCTAGAGCCATTCCTTGTGTGTTCTTAGGATACCCCTATGGAATGAAGGTGTACAAATTGATGAGTTTAAATACCAGAAAGATTTTTGTTTCCAGAGATGTACGATTCTTTGAATCAGTTTATCCTTTTTGTTCTATTCCAGGCTCGCCAATCAAATCTATAGAGTCTAATGCTTTCACTGATTCTTTTAGTTCTGATCCTAACATCACAAATGACTTTAGCATCACAACTGATCCTAATACTTCTCCCTTTGCACCTTCTGATTCTATTCTTGAGTCTGTTCCTAGTTCAAACTTATCTCCAGATTTAACTTATTTCACTTCAGATTTCAATCCTATTTCTCACAGTCCCAGTCATGTCCCTCATATTTCTAGTCCTACTTCTCATAATTCAACCCCAATCCCTTTAATAAGATCAGAAACAGAACATAATAAGTCTGCTTATTTGAATGACTATGTTTGCAATGTTGTATTTCTAACTGATGTTACCAATTCTTGTTTTAATCAACGGTTGTTCCTCTAACATATCCTTTTACTGCTTTATTCACCTCTAATCAACATCTACTTAATTCTCTTTCTAATATTGTTGATCTAACTAGTTATTCTCAAGCTGCCATGCACTCAGGTTGGGAGCAAGCAATGGACACTGAGTTTAAAGCCCTAGAAGCTAATCAAACTTAGGAAATTGTTGAGCTTCCGGAGGGTAAGAAAGCCTTGCCTTGCAAATGGGTATATAAGGTAAAACATAATTCAGATGGCAGTATTGAGAGGTTGAAAGCTAGATTGATGATTAGAGGTAATATTCAAAGAGAGGGAATTGATTTCAATAAAACTTTTTCACCCGTAGTCAAAATGACTACAATTCGATGTCTCTTAGCTATAGCAGTTAAAAAAAAGTGTCAGATTTCACAATTGGATGTGAATAATACTTTTTTACATGGAGACTTACAAGAAGAAGTCTATATGAAATTTCCACCAGGCATATCAGCACCAAATACTAATCAAGTTTGCAAGCTAAGGAAATCTTTATATGGTTTGAGGCAAGCCTCTCGTCAATGGTACTCAAAACTTCAAGCAGCTCTAAACTTTAAGGGGTTCAGTTCATCTTTAAATGATTATTCCCTATTCTTTAAGAAATCTGGAAACTCGATGTCTATCGTTGCAGTCTATGTTGACGATATTTTGCTTACAGAAAATGATCATGAGGAACTGTCATATTTAAAGACCTTTCTTGATTCAGAATTCAAGATAAAGGACCTTGGAGATCTACACTATTTCCTTGGTTTGGAAATTCTTAGAGAAAAATATGGAATGATAGTGAGTCAGAGAAAACACCTTGGAGTTATTAGAAGAGTTCAACTGCGAGCATCTACCACTGGTGACTTCTCCTCTGGATCCCTCATGCAAGCTCAGTATTACTTCTGGTGAATTACTATCCGATGCAACCATATATCGGAGACTCCTTGGCAAATTGAACTATTTAACTTATACTAGGCCGGATCTTTCATTCGCGGTCTAACATCTTAGTCAATTTATGCAAGATCCTCGCTTGCCTCATTTTAATGTGGCACTTCGGGTAATTAGATATATGCGCTCAAATCCTGGACAAGGAATCTTCATGATAGCTGAACCTTCTCTCACCTTACTCGCATTTTGCAATGCCGGCTGGGGCGCTTGTCTTGACTCCCGCCGTTCAATCAGTGGCTATTTTGTCAGTTTATGAGGCTCTCCTATCTCGTGGAAATAAAAAATACAGGTCTCAGTGTCACTCTCTTCCGCTGAAGCAGAATATCGATCCATGAGAAGAGTCGTCGCTGAAATCACCTGGTTGACTCGATTACTCACAGATCTAGGATCATCTCCCTCTCTTTCGGTACCGATTCACTCCGATAGCCAGGCCGCAATCCACATAGCTCGGAACCCAGTTTTTCATGAGAGGACCAAACATGTGGAACTTGACTGCCACTTTGTTCGGCAATAATTCCTCTCTGGTTTAATCTCTTTCCTTTGTGCCGTCTTCGTCTCAACTTGCTGATTTATTCACAAAACCCTTGTCTCGGCCATCACATCTCTCAATTCTCGGCAAGTTGGGGGTTGCTTCTCTACCCTCCAACTTGAGGAGAATGTTGAAGATAAAAATCCAATGATCAATTTTGATTCTCAACTCACAGTCTCTCGCAACAAACTAAGTAAGGAAGAAGAAGCTAGAAGGAATAAGGCGAAGGTTGTGGTCGATAAGAACAAAAATACAATTGGTAAAGTACCAAGAACTAAAGACTTAGATCTTGTATCAAACCAAAATATCAAAGGGACACGTGGAGCAATCTCAGCTTTTGGTTCACTATTTGATGGATCTATTACGGTTCGTCCGATCAAAATGTTAGACAGCTACTGTGCAGCTACTAAAGACACAACGGCTAATTTTCATTGTACAAAATTAGTATATTAGATGTATAGAATTATTTGTCTGATAGCATAGCTCAAATACTTCTTAGATACTTATACATAGGATTATTCTTATCCCTTTACACTACACTTGTATAAATAGATTGTCATCGATCAATGGAAATACACGAAAAATTCTCAATTATTTTTTCTCCTAACTTTTCTACACGCGGCAAACTCAAAATAACCCACTTACAATTTTAATACGCGATTTCTTAACCCCACCCGTTAATTTAATCCATAACCGACCCCTCAAATCTCTTTATTTTGATTTTCTTTCTTTTTTCCTTTACACCCTTCTCTTTCTTCTCTATCAAAACACCCTGCCACCTCCTTCACCCGAACTTCACCCAATTCAAATCCAATTTCGAGTCCAATTCAGCCTCCATAATATAACAATGCAGCTCTTTACCATAGTGCCACTCTGTGCCAGTTCTTCTTCACCTCTCCACACAAAGAAAGAAGTGTTGAAACTATAAATACATCAAACTTCCAGCCTTGAAATTGCATATCCTTCACAAAATCCCATATTTTAGCATCTAAAACTCTCTTTTACACCCGGATACGCTGAAATTAGAACATTAAAACTGAAACATTCCTATACGGCATTCCATCAAACACCTTCAGGGAATCTTGAAAAATCCCACATTTGCTATTCATAGACATAAAAGAATCAGCAATATCAATATCCCAAAAACCTCATTTCTCACACAACTCCCATGAACAATTTTCCCAGAAACAATCTCCCCTAATTCACCCAAAATTTTTACTATACTCGACAAGGTAAACTCATTAAGGGTGACTTTACTTTTACATATTTGATTGAAAAGCTTAAAACTTTGCTTAAAGAACTTATTTTTAGTATAACCATTAATCATAATGTTCCAAAGATACTGCCTTTTGTGTTCAATAGAGTCAAAAACAAATTAAGAGTCAACTGGGTTTTGATTAAAAAGTATGAGGAGATGAGTTTGGTTGAGCTATAGCAGAATCTTGGTCAAGTCCATGATGAAGGATATGGGATGTAGTTGTTGGGCATGTTTGAGAGATTGAGATCCAATTGAAAGCTGAAGCTAAGTCAAGGAAATTGGTAGTTGAAGATAAAGAAAGCGTAGGACGTAAAGAAACAAACCAAGAAAATGAAAAGAAAAATCAGAATAAAGATAGTTGACGGGTCGGGTATGCGTTAAATTAAGGGGTTAAGAAATCGGGTAGTAAAATTTTAGGTGGGTTATTTGATTTTGAGTTTGCCACGTGTCTCCCCGTCTAAATTAGGGGTAAATTAGTGTAATAGTATGGCGATAGGGGTATAATTGGACAGACTCAAACGGACAATATAATTAAACTATTTCAAATAGTACAGGAATATACTTGGATATTTTTCGTACTTTTAATGTGAATTGTTAGAAGACAATCTACTTAAGTAATCGACTATAAAAGTCAATTTTCTTTATTTTGTATTACAAAAGTCACTTAGTTTTTGCCATCTTATATAGAAGGTCAGTCATTACACTTTTAAATTTTTAAAGCCAAATATTTTAAAATTAACAAGGCGCCCATTGAAACTATTAATTTACTTTACCGCTTCGAGATCCGACCCGTTATTATTTATACCTTTTTTATTTTTTTAAGTCTTATTAAAAGAGTAATTTACTAGTGGTAATTTATTTTTTTTTAACTCTTGACAAGAGTGGGTTGCTCTAGTGGTAAGCATCCTTCACTTCCAACCAAGAGGCTGTGAGTTCGAGTCACCTCAAGAGCAAAGTGGAGAATTCTTGGAGGGAGGGAGCCGAGGGTCTATCCGAAACAGTCTCTCTACCACAGGGTAAGGATAAGGTTTGCGTACACATTACCCTTTCTAGATCCCACTAATGAGATTATACTGGATTGTTGTTGTTAGAATTTACTATGAGCAAAAAGGCAGCGTTTCATTCAATGTGAGCAAAAGTTCATTCACATTTAATTAGGTAAAAAGGTTCATTAGCTAGTGAAGTTGTGGCCATTTAATGTGAGGAAAAACGTCAATTGGACATGCAAAAATAATCATTTGATATGCTAAATGAAAAGAGCATTGCTACGATAAATGAAAAAGCACTACTAACTTGATAAGTTCAATATAAATAATTAAGATAAGAAATTGATACCAACAAATGCCTCTGAAAATTAAAACTTGCAATCTATAGTAGCATTGATAAAAAAAACATTAAAAGACTAAAGGTACTCTGACTTATATCAGAAGAATAATCTTCTCCAAAAGGTTTGATCTTCCTTAAATTAGTAAAGAGCAAAAATAGATAATCTTTACCATCGAACTATCAAATGCTGCTAATACAGCAACACCACTTTAAAAAAAAATAATGCTCGTTGCTCTGCTAATACAGCAATACCACTTTAAAAAAAAATAGTGCTGGTAAAGAAGACTGCCGTGAGCACCTAATTTTTGACTATATTTGAATTTTTTAATATTTAAATAATTTTTAAATTTAATCTTAATATTTTAGCTTTATTTCACCTTTTTATAGGTTTATTTTAGATAAATTGAAAACAACAAAAATAGTCACAGTTTTACATATTAATTGTGTTCTCGTTTTCAAAAGAAAGAAAACGGTTCCAAAAATATATTTTCAACGGGTCTACTCTATTTTTTTTCAAGTTAAGGCTTTTAATAAATGAATTTTGGGTAGTTAGCATTTTTTTTCTTTCTATATTAATCAAGTAGCAGTAGAATATTAACTAAAAAGAAAGAAAAGAAAATCAACAAATAAAAAAGGAAAACAAACAAGAATTGCCACATGTCAAAGATTTCCTCTTATCCTTAGTAACAAACGTTGGCACAATTCCTCACCTGCACATACACACTCACGTATTTCTTGCTCTCCAATTCTCTTCCCCTCACACGAGGCTTGACCATTTTCACTACATATAGAGAGCAACACACCAAAGAAAGAAAAAAAATCAGAAAACCCAGCACCTTTCTTCCACCTAAAATACATCCTTTAATACCCAAAAACACAACAGTAACTCCTTACCAAAACCTCACCTTCCTCACGTTATTTTCATCACCAAAACAGCCCCTTTTACCCCAGCCAAAAATCATTACAAAATCAGCCATAAACCCCCATTAAAGCAGCTCCAAAATGAGTTCCAAATAATCATCAAACTCCACTTGAAATCTGCCGCAAAACCTAAAAAATGCAGCAGTAAAACGACCACCAAATAGCCGCACAAACACCCCTTTTTTCATCTTGAAGGAACCCCAAAATGTCATTAAAATCATCCCATAAAATTAGTTTCATCTCCACCCCAAAATACACCATAAAATACCTCAAAATACACCATAAAAAATCGCAGCAAAACCTGTAGGATTGCATATCAGTGTTCATAACACGCAGCGGAAGATAATAACAATCCTAGGCAGAACTTTTCATGTTTAAAGTTTATTTATATGTCAAAGATCTAATCTAAGACGTACCTGGTGAAGTGAGTCTCGTTTTAAATTTCTTCGATAGTGCGAAGAATCTATGCGTATCCACACCGAGACTGATCCTTGCTATCAACTCTTTGATCAATGAAATCCCGCGAACAAATTGAATGAAAATATTGTGTTGAAATTTTTCTCAAAAATCTCAACTCAAAGGTAGAAGAACAAGAAATAATTTTCTTGTACTAGTATTTTCTATCTTGGCTTTGTATTGTACTATTACTTTCTCAAAGCAATTTTCTTCTCAAGAATAACTCTCTTGATTTTTACATGACTTTACAATATGTGTAAGATCTATATCTTCCNCAACCAAGAGATGTAATTTAATTTTCTTATTTAAAATAGAAAACTTTTTGTTGCACTACATTTGTCTCAGAGTTTCCTTTCGAGAGAGTATACCTATGTACATATGTGTATGGTTATGGCAGGGCAAGGTCCCGACCTTATGTTGTTTATATACTCCTTAAAGGCTTGTAGATAAATATCATATATATGCGTACTTATATGGCCTTATCGGTCTATGTTTTGAGTGTTCAAATGATCATGTCGGCTTATAGACCCGTATGTGATATATATAAATTTCCATATCATGTTGGGTCCTCCTATGTCGAGTATTCCCTTATGTTTTATTCTGCTTAGCTCATGGTGGCCCTTATGGCCCATTTACCCATGATTGTATGACAAGAAAGATACATTACATTGGTATTCATTTGAGTAAGGCACTTGGTGCCCGTCGCGACCCTCCGATTTGGGTAATAATATCACCTCTCCGAATCAAGTGTAATCAACCTCAATCTTCAAGATTCAGACGGTAATCCATCTATATACACCCACAACAAGGTCGTATGGGTATGATTCATCGGGAATCTTAGCTAAATTGTGACCTCCTGTCAAATTAAGGTTTGTCTGATTTTTTACCTATTCCTATTTGGAATTGGTTATGCATGTGATTCTTTCCTTATTTGTATGTTGTGATTGGTATTTTCCTTATTTTTGTTTAACGAATCAAGGACTATATAAACCCTCCCCCAATTCGCCTAAAAGGGACTTTAATCATTGTTATTCTCTCACTCACTCATTCTATATTATTCTGAAACATGGGCTCTTGGACGGTTGAAAGTCAAGGCCACCGGAATTCGATTAGTTAACCTTTTCTCAGTGCGAGTACTGCCCGAGGTCAATCTAAAATCCTTAGTAAATCTGACACACTGAGTCCTTGGGGTCTATTGCTCTCTTTTCCATTAAAGCACTATTGGGACTGTTCCTCTTGTTTGCTTGTTTGATTATTCGCGATTGGTAAGTCTTTTTGGCCACAACCATTTTATTTACTTTTGTTGTATTATGTGTTCTATGTATTTATGTCCCTGAAACTTCTATGAAGCACTGCCCTACTATGTCACTCACTTGTAACTTTAAATGATCTAAGGTTTTCTTGTGTGTCGATACTGAACCTACCTAAACTCTAAATGTGAGATGTATTTATG